GAAGATAGTGGGTGCCCATGCTCTCTTCACTGCCGGGTCCCGAAGGACTCTTGTTCATGAGAGATCTCTCCACAAAGTAAGTCTACCCCTTGCTGGGTTTATCATCCTCAGGGTCAGAAACTTTTTCACAAAGCCTCCATCCAGCCTCTTGCCTTAGCTGCTACAGGTAGGCGCTCATCACCTCATCTGCCTGTTTATTTGCAGGTACGGCATAAACTACACTTAGTGGAAAACCAGGTTCTCCAGGAATGGGAAAATTAGTGACTCTCGGTGTATACGTTTCTTTTTCTCTTTGGCTTTTGGAATTGCACTTTTGAAGTGTCTTCAGACACTCAGAACTGTAGAAAGTTATGCTACCAAAGTCCTACCGGCTTCATTCTTAATTTCGTAGTGTTTGAAGAAAACTTTGGCCTTGAAGTCATAGATGACTATGCCCATCCACAAAATAATAATCTTGTCTCTCTCTAGGGGCAGGTCCTTTCAAATGACTTCAGAGAGGAAACACTGCCATGTTTCCAATAAGTTTGCTGCCTGGTCCATGAGAGACTAGGAGGCTGGCATTTTGGCTCAGCCAGGGTTTCAACCCAGAGGACCTGGTTAGAATGTGACCCTTTCGTCTGGGGTCTAAGTGCAGTTGTCCTATATTTCTAGATGTTGGCAATTACATGAGGCATGACTCATGACAAAATTCTGGCTATAACGCACAGGCAGTAATTTTGTCACCAGTGGCCTGCTGTGGGGAAACTACTTGTTACTCTCATGTCTCCCTTCCCTGCTGTGGTGTCTGAGGAGGCTGAGAGGCAGTTGCTGTGGGCTTCTTGTGGCTGAGCTTCAAGGGGAGCCTTGGTCACTAGGGCAAGACCCCCCTCCCTATGGAACACATAGTGTGACTGAGACACAGTCTCTCTAGTTCTAAGTTAGAGAGTGTTGTAACTGTCACTACATTGGTCCTAGCCCACCTTAACTAATATACTGTCTAGCAGGAGGGAGGAAAACACTTTCATTATTGTCTCAGGTGTCTATCTGTACTAATCTGCCCCCTCTAACTTACTTCCTTAAAGCAAATCCTACACTGTCACAGTTTCT